AGCCTTTATAACGCCCTGACTAAACCGTTTTCCGACCTGATAGCGTCCTCTACGGTATACTAGAACGCCCTGATTCATCTTAGGGGGATTTCAGAAGCCATTTTATCGTGAGCTCTACCCTCAAGCTGCTATTCATGAAAAGACGTCGGTTAAACTCAATCGTTTACTATTCTGAAAGTAGCGTAGCAATGTTATTGTTCTGGCCACCGTGTTGGCACCATATAAGGCGCCACTCCTTTCATTTATAAGAATTTCATTTCATGAAAGACTCTCTCTAAGTCTATTATATGTTAGCCCGTAAAAAAAAACTTGCCACCAGTGCGCGGAGTGAATCAGGGCACTCACTTTCAAAATGTCTCGCACGAATGCTCCCCGAAAGTTATTATCGAACGTCGCTCGTTCGTCTTTTCGCCCAAAGATCTGCTCAGCTAGTGAACCTCTGGAAATATCCATTAGTCATTACATTTGTATCAAAGTTTCCAGAAAGCATTTCCTATAAGTTACCAGTACCGAAAGCAGTGTGTCCATAGAACGTATAAGCGCGTGCTGTCGTAGGAGATACCTATGAACGGGTTTACATTTTCATGGCTCGAATGTTTTATCTGAAAATTCACTTAATCTGAATCTGAAAGCCTCTGAACAATGTTGATTGCACTGAAAATACTATCATTTGTTTATTTCCCTCGTTTATTTGTTATTTCAACGTTTCTTTTTTTGACCTCAAGTCATTTTTCTATTATGCTGTATCTCCACAACATTCCTTCCTTGTACGAAGCCCAATTCCAGATTTACGAAGGAATTTACCAATTCATCACGTCCGGACTAAAGAAACTAAATACGCTTTGATTGTACCCCCAAATTGATGCACTTATTCTATTTCTTACATAATTAAATATTTTAATTGAGGGGGCGGAGGTGGTGTAGTGGCAGTGGCATCTATTTCTTACATAATTAAATATTTTAATTGAGGGGGCGGAGGTGGTGTAGTGGCAAGTGGCGCACTATATCTCGAATCCCGGATCGATGCCCGCCTAGGCAAACCAAGCCCTCCATCCCTCGGAGGCCGGTGAATCGGTACTAGACTGGGAGGATAAAAGCACTGGCTTGCACATCGGCTGGCCACCGCAATCATTGTATAGGCCAGAAACGCTTTCAAACCGCCATTACGACTGTTAATGGAAGTCGGGGGGGGGGGGGCATCAGACGGGAGGATTGATTAACGCCAAAAACTTCATCTTTTATCCTTTTGCTTTAATTGAGATATTTGTCCTTATGGGCTTTGGAGCTGAAGTAACCTTGAGCAGAAGGTCGATATCCTGTTTGAAGAACACCAAGCGCTCTTTCAAAGCGATAGTTTCTACAAGAACGTATGTCTGATTGATGGTGGCTAGTTGTCGAGTTCTCAGAAAATCACGCATTTTCACCTGAATGAATATTAGATATGCTAAGCTTATGGCGACTAAATTCAGCTATAATGTATGTTCTGACCTTGGTTTCCATATGCTCGTTCAAGCTCAGGACCGAGAGTTGTTGACTCTGAAACGAACAGTCTGCATCAGTTTACATTCGAGTTTCGGTTTTTATAGAAATACATATAAATGCAGCGAAGTCAAGGGGGACCTCTTCCCCTAATGCCTTCCTCACTATAATTCTACGTTTTAGTGATCACTGATAGCGTATTACCCTGAACATTTTCATTTTGCAAATGGTTCAGGCCCTTAGCGTACTCACCCCGTTTAGCTATGCCAGTGAACCTTATTTGTCGAGCTATGAAGAGGGGTGGTATAGTGGCAAGTGGCGCACTATTTCACACGCACGGTCAGGGGTTCGAATCCCGGGTCGATGCCCGCCTAGGCCAACCAAGCCTTCAGCCTTCGAATTCATTCCAGGCGACGTACACCAACCTTGAAACTATGAATCGCATAAATCATTTTAATCTCTGCAACAGTGAGTCGTGTGGAATATGTGGAACAGAAGAGGAATGATGGCTGATGTCCCGAATCATCATTCTTTTTCTGTTGCTCGTATTTTTTCATTCTTTCGGTTTTCTTGTTACGTGGGTCGTAGCCATTAGTATTGATTGGTCGTTAACAAAAACTCCTGATCTTAAATCTTTAAGTATGCTCATAATTCATAATCTCAATGATTTCCTAGCCGTTCAATCTATACGCCAGGGGTGTAGGTACATATCCCCGGAAATGCCGCGCTCAATGTACCGCCACTCATATTCCAGGGGACTTTCTGGAGGGACGGACCAGGAAATAAATTTCCATTGACGCGCGAGAGCGGACGATGAAACCTGTTTCTCGCGGCGCCAACCTCCAAGGATCACATTCGCCACTGGCACTAAGCCTCTCCCGCTCCCTTTTCTTTTTCAAATGTGACCCATGGATTTCGCGCTCCAATCAACCTTTTCAAATTTTCGCGGCTTTCCATGCGCCGAGCGCGGTATGCTGCTCGAGTATAAATTCGCACACGAATATTTTGCAATGGTTTTGCTGTCTCCACTCTTGCTATCATAGTTAGTATTATGAATTGGAGATTGACTTACTCCATGCGATGAAATATCCAAGTCAATGAACTTCAGCGTTGGATAAGCGATTGCCCATGGCATTTGCATGGATTCAATATGTTTTCTTAAATGAATACAGGTTGTCTTGATTGATGGTAAAGTTCAATAGAATCGCTTACATTTTACGGAAGCTAACAAACATTCCAATACACAGAGCGACAGCTGCAAGCATTATGAAAATGACGAGAATTGTTCTAAATATGTTGGGCTACGAACTGTTTATTTACTGGAAGTAAGTTACTGTAATAAATAATAATATATACCCCGTTTGGTCGCACAGCTCTCCATTGAATCCACATGTGGGCATATCTTCTCGTAGAGGCAAGTTCAGATGAGACAAATTGAGTTTCTGCAATTAATACATACGTTCTTCTGGAGAATACTTTGTTATGAATGGTAGTGAATAGATAGCAATTGTTGCACCATCTCTAAATTTGTAAAGCGTTTTTGCGAGGGTGCTAAGTTAGGAACGAAATGCCTATCGCCCAAGTAAAACGACTGAGCGCATTCAGAGTACAGCGTCAAGCGGCGGTGCTCGATGTCGGCGACGGCGGCGAGGCGCACGGCCCAGAAGCATCTTGTTTTCGGGACAAAGCTGCGTGTTTTTTCATAATAATACGTAATATTCTATTCCACCACACTAAAGTAATCAAACTAGAAAAAATCAAGTTTGTTTGTCAAAAGAATTGAGTAAAATTGGCATACACAGTTGCGGAAAAACTGACCCAAAAATATCAATCGTCGGACCGTGTGGTATTGATCGACGCCCCAGTCTTGCCTTTCTTTGTATTTTGCCTTTTTTTCGGTAGTTCCCAAAGTTTTTTAGTATTTTATCATACTTTTTCTTGTCCCCTTGGGTATATTTTTGATATTTTTCGTATCTCTGACGTCTATGCTCGATTATCTAGCGTCATTGACGCTTGACGCTGGAAGATGTCAATTACGCTTGACGCCGAACTATGAAAGCAAGGTGCACTATCATAGCGCTTCCTTTCGAATTTTTCCCTTGCACCCAGCTTGCTATTTCATTTTAGGATATATATATTTATTTATTTATTTATTTATTTATTTATATATGGGAAGAAAGCCATTTACCAGACACGTCCCACTGCTGCATTCGCGATCAATCTCGGGTTTGGCAATGTAGTTGTAGCCGGAATCGTTGATGTAGCCGAATGAATACGGAGCAATACGTTGAGTGTTGTCATTGAAGTAAATAGCACCAAATGGCCCTGACAAATGTAAGTCTGAGTGGGTACTCAATAATTTTGTAAAGTTGAATATATGAGCGGTCCACTCCTCAGAAGAAGAAAGGATTTTACGAATTTACATCTGTGGCCGTGGCGGATCTATGAACAACAAAGTTTATTGGATCCCTCGATGAGCTCAGAGACAATTAAAAGGAAAGAAGATATAGCAAGAAGCTACCACGTGGCTGGTTTTTCATACGGGGCAAAAAAGCTAAGAAGAAGTGAAAGGATGATTGATCAGGTAAGCTCGTGAGAGATGGAAAACACTTCGAGCATTGAACCATTATCAAGCCGGACACCGTCGGGTAGAAAATTCGGACGATTGCTGTGAGATGCGAAAAAGTGCTCCCCTTCTCATTTGCAGTCTTTTTGTCTAGAGGACATTACGATACTGTACCGGGTAGGTTTTACAGTAATCAACTCACCATTGGGAACATAGTTCAACCGTGGGCGCAGGACCGTAGCGTTGTACTGGCCGGACGGGTTCGATTGATACTCGAGGCGAAGAGCATACGCAAAAACAAAAAGTGATTCGTACAATTCGAGAACCTCCATTACATTTGCCTGGAATATTTTCGAGAATTTGGACAAATTTTTTACTGGCCGTACTTGCAATCGTTCAACTGAGTTACTGGTGTGTATCGTAACAATTTCAATTCTCCCAATCGAAATAACGATAAACTTGGGAAAACGGGGGTGTAAAAACCCCTCTTGGAAAGATCCTATTTGATAAATTATATGGTGAGTTCTGGTTTGTGAACAACTCAGATGAATTTTTTGGCTCTCTACTGAGTTTGCTGGAATCCTCGACTCAAACAAATGCAAATATTATTTTTCGGAAAAAAGATTGAGTGCTGGTTAAAGAAACGAACATAATCGACCCACCGATGAACCAAAATTGTTTTTGTTGAGAAATGGTTGTACAAGAGCATTTTCGAAGACCTCATTGATGAGCTTAATCAAGTCACGATCGGGTAATTGAAGTGGTACATCAATGTGTTGATACTTATACTCATATCCGAACTTACCACATAGGTTCTGTTGAACAGCGGTAGAATTGCAGCATTGTTGGCCCAAGGGTATTTTCGGCTTTCAATCTGACGTAAAAGAAAAATTTAGCTGGCCTGGCTGCGACGAATTTTGCCTTTGATTTACAGGACAATCTTTCTAGAATCTGAGTGGCTGTGGCGTCTCAAAGCCCCCAAGCATAACACTGGCCCGGTGCCTTAATTTTTTGGTAAGAGAGACTATGGGTTTCTGATCTAGGAGTTTGGCAATTCTTTTACTGAAGAATTTCGAGCTTGCTTTAATGAACTGAGGATGAGGATAAGGGCTGTCATTTGAGTTTGATTTGTCGATACATAGGCCAAAAAAGTGCAGGACTTCGGCAGCCGCCAAACTACCCTAAAATTTCATAGATAAGAGCGGTTGAAACCCCCGGTG